CCTGAGGCCAGCATCCCCGTGCAGCCCATGCCCGCGTCCCACCAGCGGCTCTGTGCTGCCGCGACGCAGTGCCAGCGTCCCTGGGGGTCTGGCCGGCCCCCTGGCCGGAGGTGCCTGGGCTGTTTGGTTGCCCGTGGCCAGGCAGAGCTGCTGTCTGCCAGCTATGCCCCTGCAGAGTTTGGGGGTTTGGTTCTGGTTTTGGTCTTCCAGCCCCCTGCAGGTGTATTCTCTAGCCAGGGGCCGCCTGGTGCAGGGTCAGGAGAGGAGCACAGGGAAACCCCCCTCCCAACCCCTCTGCTGAACTAACCGCCTGCCTTCCTAACCAGCCTGCACTAATTGCACTAACGGTGCCTGCTCTGAAGTCTGCCATCACCTCTGACACCTCTGCAAGCCCGGGAGCCCCCCGGGCACCCTGCAGCCCCGGTCCTGGGGCACCCATCTGTGCCAGCCCTGTCTCCCCAGCTCAGTGTCCCCCCCTGTGTCCCTTTGCATGGATCCCTATGTCTCCACACTGCCGCAGCGTGGGGTGGGGTTTCTTGCAGCGTGTGTTTCCCAATGCCTCGCCCCCATATGGGGCTGCCAGGCCTGCGGGACGTGGTCCCCTATGCCAGCCCCGTGTCACCGGCCTCTGTCGTGCTGCTCTTGGGGCCGTGGGAAGGAGGGTTGGGGATGCTCCCCCTCCTCCCAGGGCCAGGAGCAAGCGTCTGCTCTGCCATTAACTCAGCACAGCCTGAGCAGCTCCGGCAGCGGGGTTGGACCCCAGTCTCCCATTTTCACTGCCGTCCTGGGGGCAGCCCTCCCCTTCCGATGGAGAGGGGCGGCCCGTGGTCCCTCAGCCTGCGCACAGGACCTGCTGTGCTTAATGGGCAGTGTCCTGGATGTCGAGCGTCAATTAACAAAGCTCGTTAGCGGTCGTTCAGAAGGCACATGTGATGCAGCCCTTTGCAGCAGCTGGATGAATCTATCCCTGCCGTGAGAGTTATCTTTTTGCTGCCCGTAAGTGGGCTTTTGGCACGGAAAGGCAGGGCTGAGGTTGAGGGCTGGCCATAACCCCTTTAACACCGCCCAGCCCCGGTCCCCTCCGTAGGTGCCAAGATGCTCCTCCCCACGAGCCCCCCTTTTCCCAGCTGAGCCCCTCTCTAACTCTGCAGCTTCTGCATGGCGCGGATTTGAGAAGTGTGTTTTCTCTCTCTCTCTCTCTCTCTTTCCTTCCCCCCCCCTTTCTTTTTTTTTTTTGTTTCATTCTCCCCCCAATTCAGGAAAGGGCAAAGGTTGATGCTGAAAGGAAGGAGCTAGAGCAACTCCGGGCGCTTTACCATGAGTCGAAGAGCCACCTTGCTAAGTGCCCTGAGTCAATGCGGGAGCAGTTGCGGGAGCAGATGCGAAGGGTCAGTGTCTCCCCCCCACCCCTCCCGGCCC